AAGCAGAGAAGTACTACAACTTCACGGAATTGGCAAGCCAGCTGAATGAACCAGAGGAGGGTGTTGCACCCACAGACTCACGTCACCGGCCCGACCAGCGGCTTATGGAAGATGGGATGTGGGATGCTGCCAATACAGAGAAGCTGCGCCTGGAAGAGAAGCAGCGCACTGCTCGCAGGCAGAGAGAGACAGAGGCTGAGCGTGCAGCTGCTGAAGGTAATGATTTTGAAAGAAGGTCATGTGCCCCTAATACATTTTCAAGAAGCAATCATCGTGGATATCATGTTTTAATATTAAACAAGGTGTATTTAATTTTCATTGAATGTCATAAGTAGATATGGAAGATTTTAGCAATTGCTAAAAATGTGAAATGTTTACCAAATGCTGAAAAAAAAATAGTAATTGTATGTTTGATGGTCAGTGCAGTATGTTTATCGAAGCTTTCAATCTGCAATAAAATGTGAAATTGATCACAAAATGCTATATCATGTACAAAGTGCAGAATAGTTGTGAATCTGCAAGAAAATTCCTCAATTGCATTTTATGGTTTCCTTTGTGTTCGCTTTTGAACTAGGAATGCTATGTTGGCAACAACTTATTGATGTTTGAAAACCTTTAATTTGACAGTAACCATGTTTACAAATTGCGAAATATTGAATTAGTTTCCTGATTTTAATGGGAAAATTTAAAAGCATCAAAATATTCTGTCCTCCCATAATAATAATTTTCTCAACAAAGGCCACAAAATACTAAATTATAATTTGAATAATGCTATAAAATATTATAGCTTTGTTTTCAAATGCAATTTAAAAAAATTTAAAATGCCAAATTCTGTGTGCCATATTTTATACAGTCGTAAGCAATGTATGTGCTAGCAAGGAAAGGAAGGGATTTAAGTGAGCTAGAAAGAGAAGATTGAACACTTGATGTAAAATGAAGTGGCTTCTAGCAACTCTAGAAATCTTAAAATCAGGGAATTTAAAGAAGCATGTGACAACAAAAATGCTGTTGAACAAAACCACACAAAGTTATTTCCCAAAAGTAGCATGCACAAAGAACAGCAAATAAAATTGTCATGGAAATAGGAGCGTAACAGCAGAGAAGAGCTAGTTTCTGAACGAGACTGTATGGGAATGTACAACCAAGGGGTTGACGTGGTCTGGGCATTTAAGTGAATCACAGACACACTTGTCATATCTATTTCTTATAACTAAAACTTAATTTACAATGGCTATGGCATAAGGAAGAAAAATGTAAAAAGTAAACTTCATTCTCCACTGTATCAAGTGTCGGAAAATTAACGTTGAGCAATTTCAAGCTTGGGTCATGTGAAAACAACTGTTAGAACTTAAGTGTATGTTTTTAGAGGATGCATGGTGTTTTATGGTCTCAGATCACATGGCAGCTGTGTGCCAATGTACATCAGAGCCTGTGCTTTAAGTCCAGGAGCTGTTTATTTTGGTCAACCGGAGTAGCCCCAACCACACTCATGGCAGGGCTGGCTCACTCACTGCAGTCCTTTCTGTTGTTCACCTTGGTGCCAGGGTTATGTGTCTCAAACTTAATTCTGTTCACTGCTCTGGCATTGTACATTTCCTGACATATGTATATTTGCATGACCCTTGTGACCTTATTGAATCATTTGATTACTGTGACATAATTCTGTCTTGTAATACTGGAATAAATTAAATAATTTTTCACATAGGTTTCTTTCAGTTGCTGCGTGCATTGGAAAACCGTAGTCTGTGGTATTATCGAATGGCACACTAGTACAATGTCTTGTTAGTTGGTTTCCTATTCTCTAGAGTATTGGCTAGTTTTTCAGCTTTGCCCCTTTCTCTTCCCAGCTGCCATTTAATGGCACCTAAAAAGATTCAAAGGGACTATCGCAGTACGTAGTTTCTCTGGTGACATTTCCAACAAAGAGCACCTTCACACACTGCAAACATCAAATAGATATATTTCAGTCTTGTACATATTTTCCCATGGTATCCCTTGGCACCATCTGAGTGCTTAAATTACACAGATTGGACACACAGGCTTATCAGGCCAAGAGATTTTGGAAAGATTAATACAAGTAGGATTTGGTATGTCCTTGGCTACAAGCTCAATTTCAAACTCAATAAAATGTAATTTGGAATTCGAAACCGCAGCCTTAGAGTTTGTGTACTTGGTGGGCTTACGTGAGTACCTTGTACCAAGTACCTTGTCTTGTGAAGTGTCCTCGCTTGATAGTACTATTTTTAAGCATGTTACAGATATGTAATATATTTCAAAAAAATTATAAAACCAAATATATAATTTAAACTAACCTTTTACTGGCTTTGATGTTCATGGACTTTAATGTTCTGTATTGCATTAATTTTGTGTATTTTAATTAGATCCCCTTCGTTTTCTTTGCAACAATGCTAATAAACTTACTTAAGCATTGAATTATATCAACGTTGCACACAAATGAACAATTTTCCCAAAATTAACTAACTCTACAATACAAGTTCTAGAAGTTAATTTTTATAGTAGTATCAGTTAACACTGTAATTTTGCTTACTTTATGTAATATTTGTATTGAGGAAATGATATGTTATCAAAAAATACATTCAGTAAAATCTTGTTTTATATTTCTACATTTTTCATTGACCTGCCTGCAACATAATTTTTGTCATGCACTGGAAAACTAAATTTTCGATTGAAAATCTCTTATTGACAGGAAATTGTACATTTCCACATTTATGATTGTGACTTTTTTTGAAAAAACATAAAGGTTGGAGTGTTAATCTCAAAAATATGTCTTTTGTTGTTACTTTTGTGGAATATTCCACTACACAAGTGGTAGAATTTGATGGTCTAGTGCATTTGCAGTTGCATAAGAGGTAAGGATGGAGGGGTAAACTTGCCCCATGCCTCACTTAATTTGGGCCCCTTAAAACTTTATATTAAACATAATTTTATATAAATAAATTTTATTTAAAATTGTAAAATTCATTAAATAAGTAAACAAAGTTTTGAGAGTTAAAAAAAAAAATTTAGTCATTTTCCCCATCTTTTTAATTTTTTTCGGTAATTTTTGTTTTGTTTCGTTTTTTAGGTCATGTTCCTCTTATTATCAAGTCATTTTATAGGCTGTTTTCAAACGATTTTTAGGTCATCAGCATCCAAACCCTGGTTATAAATGACAATTCACATGATTCAAAGAATTCACTTCCCCAGCCAGGAACAGTCAAAAGATCATTTATAAAAATGATCATCATAGCGGAAGGGTAAAGTTGGTGGTCAGCAGTTGCAAAGCGAGAAATACATTTACATGTAATTGTTGAACCTGCAACTATGACTAAAAGTTGAAATGTAATGTTCATTAATTTAATAATTTATGTAATTTTATTGATTTGATATATCTTAATTTACCTTTTTCTAGTCATCCAAATCAGGGCTCTAAGTTTCAGGGAAAATTAGAAAAGTGTGATTATTAAAAATAATGTGTGTAAACTCGGTAGTTTTATAATATTTTACATTACATTGTGTATAGTTTTTAATTGTAATAAGATTGTAGAAAATAATTTTACTTAGATGAACTTATATTGATTTTTGCTGTTTAAATTGTGTTATTATTGTTTTAGGAACTCCTTACTCTCCTTATGAACCTATTTGGTTCAAAAAGGAGAAGGAACGCTGGACTGGTAATGTGTTCCACATGTATCAGGGTGAATATTGGTCTTCGAAACAGCAGCAAGACTGGAACCGCTGCCCAGACATCTTCTAGGCTGTCAGGAAGTGCTACATTAGTTATGCAACTGCTGGGCGTATGTGTCCAGTGGACGTTGCCCAAGGGCACTCCATGAGGTTCTTAGCGCTCTCAGCTACTCTCCCAGTACTGCCCCAAGTGGGCCAGAGCTGTCGGGTGCCGAGTTCTGGCTGGATGCCCAAGCTAGTCCGCCACAGGCTTAATCCCCCGCAGTCTGTTTTCACCCAAGATTATATTGCAACATTCAGTTTAACCTCTCTGAACATAGCCTTGGTGGAGATAGCATGTCAAAGATGTAATATTTTAAGGAAACTGTAATTAATTATTTTCTGTTCTTGTAAAAAGTATTTAAGCCGTTGTGTGTGTATGTGCTGTGCACTGATACATGCATATTCTTTAATTAATGAAGCTGCTACAATCAAGTATGTATCACTTTGGTTAATAATAGCAGAATGTACATATATGCAAGGATCATGAATGATGACTCATGCTGTGTCTTGTCACATCTCTATTGATTGCCTTCCCCTCCTCTTTTCCTCTTCCTACTTCACACAGACATACATACATGACACAGCATGTGCGCTTGCGTGCACGTAAAGATGCTTCCATGGGATGCGTTCTTGTGTGTGCCTGCCAACTGTGAATGTCAGAGATGCGACTGTCAGAGTAGATTGGGCTCTTTGTAGCCCTGCCATGTGTGCGTAAAACACAGAGGGTGATAATTGTGCTTATTGTAGTTTGTTACTGCAGTGATACTGGAGTGAGAATTGGTGCTGTGCTGGGGCACATAGAAAACTATAGAATTGTTTTATTTGGGTTAGGTGCAAGGACCCAGATAAAGGGCCTTTTTGACCTTATAATTTACATTCTTGGGAGTTGTATTTGTTTAAATCTTGAAATTAAAATTATGAATGCCAACCCATTATTGAACAAATAGTATTGTGAAAGTGATGGATATTTCAAATTTGTGGTAACATCCTGCCATTGTCCATTGCCTCCCTTTCAATATCTTTGAAATGAAAAAAGGTAAGAATTCATATTATTTTTAGGCTGATTATTGTAATTTTGTTTGGGAAAATGTGCCTAAGAAAAATGCCTGATGTGCAGTGTTATTGGAGAAGGAAAGTTATAATAAAAGTTTAGAAAACACGGAAAGTATTTCAATGTTTTAATTCATACAAATAAGTGAAACCGCACATAATTATATATTCGGAACTTCATTCTGTATGTTAGTCATATTATGCAACCAAGCGACAATCGTATATTCGTGTTACGATCATAGCGTGCAAGTGGGGCAATCTTTAGACAACGCATATAAAGCTGCTGTAATGCGCTTGCGGTCCATTTTAATTCGAAGGGGGGGTTCTGAGCGTTACCAATACGTTGCGCTAGTGACGCACGACCGACAGCTGAGCCATCTTTGGATATAACTGGTTATTATTTGCTACGATTTGTTGGTGCAATATCCTGTCTGCTGTCATGCACATTCGGTTGAGGACATCTGGACTGGTTTGGATTATCCTTACGCACGCCTATTTAAATTACGAGTAATTCACGCATTGGAGCAATGGAAGTCAGAATAAGTATTTTTCAGTGATGCAAAATTTTCATGAATATACTTCCTCGTATTAAATTAGTCAATTGTGCTCGTATTCTTGGACAGTAAATTACGAGCACGTTTTCCTGTGAAACTACTTACCCGTGATTCAAGACCGAAATTTATCCATTTTCGTACAACTATCTCTTGGACTAGTGTGGACAGTGTCTTGAAAGTGTATATACAGCAATTGGAGCTTTCGTGGTGAGTGTGTGGTCACACGCAGTTCTTGTAATTATTGATTCATAGGTCAAATCGTGTCGTTTAGCGTTGACCGGTGCTTCTGCAGATCACTGTAAACATGGTGTAAGTTAATCTTACGTACAGTTGTCATTTTGTTTGTGAAAGATTAAAAAACGACAATGTCTGCCAAAGATAGTGGTGTACAGCTGTACGCTTTCAGGCCATTCGTTTTTGTGAAACGACATCCGAAAACTCAGACGCCCTCAAAATCCCCTCTTTCCCGGAGTGGTCACCGAATTGCGTGCGATGAGGGAAATATGTACTCATTTGGGGGATACAATCCCTACATACCCGAGGACGAAGAGTTGGGAGAAGAAGTTCACGATTGGCAAGCGAGCGAACCTTTATTCAAAGAACTATGGAAGTATAATTTCTGTACTTCAAATTGGACGAAACTTTTATGTGCCGATGATATGCCCAATGAATTGGCATCAAATGCTGTAATTTTGAAAGGTACTACAATGATGGTTTATGGAGGAACTGGTGTGCCTTTTGGAACAACTTGTAGCAATCAGCTTTATGTGTGTAATTTAAATGAAAAAATTAAAATGAATGCTATTCAAGCCAGTGGAGAACTTCCTCCCAAGCAGTATGGACAAGCTTTAGTACTAGATGGAGGTTTCTTGTATACTGTTGGAGGTACTACCGGCTATGAATATTCAGCTGATATTCATCGCCTAAATCTGAAAACTGGGCAATGGGAGGAAGTTCATGTGTGTCGTGGAGGAAGAGGTGAACCAGATGGTCGCTATAGACATGAATTAGCATTTGATGGATCAAGGATTTTTGTAATGGGTGGTGGCACAGCAACAGATGTGTATGGATTTGAGGTAAGATTTTCACTTATGCGTAGTAAAATTTTATATTAAAAGTTTAAAGATCTTTTCTTTCTTCTGTTGACTTTGCAAATTTGACAGTTTTGTTTTAAACGATAGTGCTTTTGAAATGGTTTGAATATTACACATTACTTTTAGAGTTCTGTGAAATCTATTTCAATTGATGATTGCATACCAAATGTACTTATGTTCCTAGATGTTTACAATTCTATAATGAGTCCTTAACACTCATTTTTGTTGTTTGTTTTATTGAGAATGGTTAGTTTCAGTGATGATCAAGAGTTCTAAGTAAATAACATAGAGATGTATGACAATTATAAAATTAAAGCAGCATGTGTGATGTGTTGCAGAAAATTCCAGCTTTTAACCTGAGTACAGGACAGTGGGAAACTTTAGTGACATCTGGTGACCCATCATTATCACCACCAGGAGTACCAGCTGCTCGACGTTGTCACGGTTGTGTTCAGCTTCCTTCAGATGGTATCCAGCATTCAGCAGTATTCATTTCTGGTGGCTATGATGGTTCTAATATATTTGATGACCTGTGGAAACTTGATTTGAACACACTACAGTGGCAGCATCTTAGTCACTGCAAGTTGCCACGCGCTGTGTACTTTCATTCTACTGCCTTGACTCCAGCAGGACAGTTGTTCTCTTTTGGTGGAATTGCTGATATGGGAAATGGCGAGTTTGATCGCACTGCAGAAGTGCATAGTACATGGGTGTGCATTCCAAAGCTCTCAGAAATGTGTTGGGAAGCACTTGTCCATTACAATCAGTTTATTCACAATGTTCCAAGTGCAAATTTATTGAACTGTGGAATTCCTGCAAAATTTCTTAGCCGTATTGGGTAAAGCACAACAATAAATTAGATCATGATTAACAATAACTGGAGGAATTTTCTTTGCCCTTACTGTACGAGATTCTTTCTGTGATTTTATTTGATCTTTTGCTTCATATAGTTTGGGTAACAGATCAAGTGGTCTATGTTTTATGAAGTATGACCTTTAGAACCTTTTGTCAGGTATTAAAAAAAATCAACTAAAATATAATACTTAAGTGAAAAGTATGTGCTGTGGTTTGTGGTGAAGAATTATTTTTAAAGTATTAAAGGCAAATCGTTTTCTACACAAATGTTGACAAACATGTGATGGCACAAAAAGAAATGTTGGACTTGTTTAAAAACAACTGAGTGATCAAGAAAATACATGTAATAACAAGATAATATAATGAGTGTCAAGGGACAATTATATTGTTTATCTGACCTGTTTGCAGTTTAACTGACAGGGAATTGTATGTAATGGGTTTTGAAAGCTCTCTAGATGAAAATAAATGCAGATTCTGAATCTGTATGGTTTATATTAGTATTGTTTGTGTACGGTGGTTGTTGTGTTCTTAGATGTAAACATAACTAGAGCTTAATTTAAAAAAGGCATATAGAGTACCTTCTTCATTTTTCCATTGTTCCTAAGTGCGTTGTGTAGGAAAAACCCATGGCATTTAATTTCTGTTGCTCAATATTTGTTAAAAACGATTGTAAAGAAGCATGTTAACAGGGAACGCAACAAACACATTTGTAGATAAGTTATATGGTTTGTTGAAAACTTACACAGAATGTGTCCTAATAGAATGATGTGAAAGTGTTGTCAACAAATTATTCCAATCGTATGAAAAAGATGTTCCAGAATTTGAGTTCTTGCACAGACTGTTTTAGTCACACTACATTTTTGTATGATTGAAACAATTATAGTTAAGTGAATAAAGTGTGTTACATTTCCTTCCTTCTTTAGCCAGATGTCTTTGTATTTTATTGCTGTTGAGAAGCTTACTATAGTTGATCCATGTTTTCTGTATATATGGTGTATTCCATTAATCTTTCTAGTAAATCCTAATAATTAGTGAATTACTAGTTGTCTTGAAAATAAATGGTCACAATGTCTTAAGTTTGATTCATTCCCTCGAGGCCTAGATTTCTTGTTCAGAATTTTAAGGGATTGAAATAAATTATATTTTGTTTAAAAATTGACCCAGATCTCTTGTCATTTTATAAGTTTTCAGTTTGTAGCTTTTAAAACTAGCATATTAAGGATGTGGTTTTGATATACTAATAGATAGACTTAATATATGTTCAACAATGCAATCTTTTATAGTTATTCAATAATGGAGTAATCAATACTTTGAAATCTCCAGCATATTCATTGTGGAGGAAACAATAGTTGTTGGTGCCAATTGCAATTATGGATGTCATTGTTAAAATTGGAAATAACAAGTTAGGATAATGTCTGAATGCACAAAAACCGTATCATCTAAAAATCCTGTTGGGGAACTTCAGATTTCTGGAAAGTATATCTTCCTGTCGTATTCAACTACTAGACTTTCATGTAGCTCCAAGTTTTGAAGAGCTTAAATCTATTCACGTAATAATCTTGTGTGTAGATGTGTTTTTGTTGGAAAAATAGTCTTGATGGAAGTTCACTCCTAAAGAATTGCAGAAATCAAAAACTTGATTTCAGAGATTTAATATGAATCTCCCTCCAACTAATTTCCCTATTATTTTTTGCTCTCAATTTTCATATGTTTCGTAAATTTTTAGTATTGGTTTCTTAACTACAGATCTCATTGCTTTCCGATCTCATGCTTTTAATTGTAAATTCTTGGCTCTCTTTGGATTTTTTGTTCCTTTGTTGAACCAAGAGAGAAGAAACAGTGATAATTTAACTTTGAACCCTTGTACTAATAGTTAAGTACACTACAGGATAGTTCTGTTTGCTGATGTCACGAATGTTCTTTGCAAAAAAGAAACAATAAATGTTTAAACAATTAATGTATATTTTCAGAAATTTCAAAAAACATAACAAAGTAACAGTAACCAAAAGAAAATTGGTTTCAATCCTTTTTTGCACTTTAAATTGGCAGTCGCATGCTCCATTGAAAGCGAACAATATGCAATTAGCTGCTGTTAAAGTAACAAAATTTCTAGATCTCCTATATCAGTCAAACATCAAAAGCAATATACATATAATAGAATTAAACACTAAATTAAGTTCATTGTGTGTTCAGAAATTTTTCAAATTCTGTCAGCCTTCATGGCAGCCTGTTTTGTGTATTTTGCAATTGTACATTCCTGCCTGAGACATGATGTAATATTCTGAGGATGCTCATCCTGTAATTTTTGTCAAAACTGATTTGCTCAACAGTGGAAACATATTTTCATGCAATACTGACATTTATATTTATAACTTACATCATAGAAATCACTCTCATCAAATGCCAATGTCGACAGTATCAACAAGAAATCCACATAAAATACATTCATGTTACTTCACAATATATTGCCTGATCACATTAAACAATTCAAATACGTAAAAAAATTTAATTTGAAATATCTTTAATATCTTATCTGCTGCATAACCATTAAAGACTATACTGATAATCAAAAAGAAAAATAATGTTTATTTTAATAGAACAATGATGTATAAAACATTTGTTTACATTTATATTGTCTAATTAAAAAAAAGACTTAATATGTCTGTAATAAGTAATATACATCAAGTTCCAGTCAATGATCCCAATCTCGATCAGTTTTTTGTCCAGTTGCCCTGATCCATTGAGCAAATGCTAATATGGCCCCTAGTTTTGCTTCTGGAAATAAACGTAGCTTCATTAAGCACACATGTTGTTGAGCTGCCCCTTTGCTTGTAGAGGTAAGGGTAGAGTTGGCACTACTTTGTTAGAAATGCAGAAAATTCAAAATTGAATTTCATTTACTGATGCAAATGAAGTGTTACCCAAAACTTTTTTTTTTTTTTTTCCAAAACGTCTGCCTGTGTGGTGTTTGTGAACAACACTAGTGCCTAAACTATGTGTATGATTTTTTCTATACTGAACACACCCCAGTCGATCATTTTCGGCATCATTTTACAATGATGTATGATGAACAATAAGGTCTAAATATTATGTGGTTATAAAGACTCCTAAAATATGTAAAAACTTGCGCTATAAAATGTGATTATCTCTTGGGAGAAACATTGTTCAGTGGACATATTATGTGGATACATTTAAATGTAATAGAAAATAGTATATTCATGGATCGCATAATGATAGCTATTATTTACGAGTTGATGTTGACACTCGCTTCTACGTCGAGTCGTAATTGCTACGAGAGAACAATAGTCATTATATGCGAGTAGAAGACTACTTTCTCTACGACCTTAGAAATTTTCAGAATTGATTTTTGGACAGATTTTTTATTTACGTCGTCAAACGCGCTTAGATCATTAGCAACCAAACATCCAAACTAAGAGAGCGTCTATAGAAACGGCCATTAAAAATATTTCAGCAATTTTACCAATATTCATGAATCTTTGGATAAATATATATGTCCCTTTCGTTCCACTTTTGGATATCATCCTTTTTGTCCCCCTTTTCTGTTTGCCCCCTTCATTCTGTTTGTCCGAAGTGCATCTTGTCCCGTTTGTCCCCTTACCAATTTTGTCTAATTTGTCCCATTTCTATATGTTATCCCTTTCCTCTCGTTTTCCAATTTTGTCCCCTTGCCCTCTTCATCCTCCTTTCCCCTTTTGGTCCTTCCGCGCACTGCGATTGTTATTTTATTTTGTTATTTGAAACAAGAAACAGTTTATCCAAATGGAATTTTATAGCTTGCTTGTAGCAGATGAGAGTAGTTTTGATTATGTTACATGTCGCTATTCACATGCTTTCCACAATGTACGCGCCTTGTATCACTGGCATGCTCTATTCATGTATCAACAGCATCGGTAGAGATATCGTTTTCAGCTCTGAAAAGAATAAAAACCTTTGGGTCTATTGAATCATCACTGCTGGAGGACATAAGACACACACATTCATTTTTCGAAAAAACTGTGCAGCATTTTGCTAGTCATGAAAGAAGAATGGATTTTACATTCCGTTGATTACAGCAACTTTTGCAGACAGCTGACTTCGTTTTCCTGTTCTGTAAGTTACAACAATTTACTTTTTCTTTCATGAAAATATATCTTGTGTAAGAGTGATGTATTGCACGTTGCAATTTATTTTCTAAATATTGTTTCACAGTTGTGTTAAAGAACTTCCTGTTGCGCGACTACTTTGTATGGGTGGGGTATCTGGTTGGCCGTTAGCAGCTGGGGTATACAATGTATTCACTACACGCCTCTGCATTTTACATGAATTTCGCTATTATACGTTTATCAATTCTACAAATTATTGAACGCACATTTTTGTTGTTTTTTCGATTTGATTCGTAATATTCAAGAAAAAATCCTTTTTAACGTCCTTTTGTTGAATAAAGGGCTAGCACGAAACGAAAGGTACGTATCTTTCCCAGAGGATACGAATCTGCAATAAAAAAAATTGGATTGCTATTTCACTTTGTTTTCCCCACCCCCATTCGTGGGAGGTAGGAGTGGGGGTACAGGTCTCGTACCATTGGGTGGCATCCGTCGATACAAACTACTTTTATTGATCCGATGCATACTTTTCGAGACATCCCCAATCCAATTTAAATGGAACACCGGTATATACTCGTATTAAAATTATTTCTTTAACCGTGTTAATCGAACATCGTAATTATTAGATTCAAAAAGTGAATTTGGAACCGGGTAAATCATCATATAGTTTTTTCTAACATAATTCTGCTCTACATTATATAAGTACAGTATGTGATCGAAAGTATCCCGACACATGGCTGACAATGACATCCCAATTCGTGGCGCTCTCTATCGGTAATGCTGGAACTCAATAGGGTGTTGGCCCACCCTTAGTCTTGATGACAGCTTTTACTCCCGCAGGCATACTTTCAATCAGGTGCTGGAAGGTTTCTTGGGGAAAGCCATCCCATTTTCCAGAGTGTGGCTCTGAGGACTGGTGTCGATGTAGTTCGGTGAGGTCTGACACGAATTCGGCGTTCCAAAACATCCCAAAGGCGTTCGATAGGATTCAAGTCAGGACTAGTCCATTACAGAGATGTCGTGTAACCACCCCGCCACAGGCCGGGCAGTATGAACAGAAGCTCGATCGTAGTGAAAGATGCAATCGCCATCCCCAAATTGCTCTTCAACAGTGGGCAGCAAGAAGGTGTTTAAAACATCAACGTAGGCCATGATAGTGCCACACAAAATAAGGGGTGCATGCTCCCTCCATGAAAAACACGACCACACCATAACACTATTTTGGACGTGTCCGGATACTTTTGATCATAGTGTATATCTTAAGTTTATTAAAGACTATTGCATGTTTGGATTATCTCACCCTAGCTGAGCCAATGAATCAGGCCGAGAAGAATTTTCCTTAATGTTATGTACGTGTTCTTCAATGCGCTCTCGCAACTTTCTCTTTGTCTTGCCCACATACTGCAGTGAATTGCTCTTACAAGGGCCCATTGGACAAAGGCAACCGCCACACCCTACTTCTCCAAGCCCTAATTCGCCATGTGTCGGTTGGTCCCGTCGCTGGGCGAGCCGCCTTCGCACACGGTTATCAAGGGTCATAAAGCGCTCGTGTCAGCTCCCCACCTCAAGCGCGTCACCCAGGCCTCCCAAGGCGCCCTCGCAAGGAGAACATTGAGAGCGGGAAGCGCCACGAGGACTCTTCAAACCCTTCAGATCCATTGAAAGAATAATAATAGAACGTGTGCGGCACGCAAGGCCTTGCAAGTGCAGTTCATTGCAGTATGTGGGCAAGACAGAAAGATGCGAGAACGCATATATACCATTAATGAAACTCCTTTTTGAACTGATTCATTGACTCAGCTTAGGTGAGATAAACCAATCATATAATAGTCTTTGATAAACTTAAGATATACAGAAATACCCTCATCCTCGGCAACAGATACTTTCTAGAAAGGAAACTGTTCGTCACTAAGGACGGCATGGCGGCCCCTTACAAGTGAGTCGCAGCTAACTTCCCTAATCCTCCGATCCACATTAGAAATGTCGACACACATCGCAGCCCGCTCCAGATAGAGCACTTCTATGAGAATCTTTAGGCACAATTGCCAAGTTGTCAAAACCGAAACCGGATGCCAGCATCTGAAGAACTCTGGCTGGCACTGTGCAAAGTGGAATTGTGTCACGCACCTCTCGCATCGCGGCGACATTTGCCGCAAAGCGCAAGTCTGTGACGCATGACGGCCGGAGTTTACGTGTATGCGAGGCACCCGTCATGGCCCAAATTAGCAGACGCGTCAACGGGGCCTTGTCATCAGAACTGACCACCCTGGCGTCTGATTGGGGAGGGCGTGGTCCGGCCATAGCGGCGGGCAGCGGCGCTTCCCTTGGCGCAGCTCCACCACTGCCGTCGCCGAGTCCTTTGGCCACCCTGCCCGCGCGCGGACTTACTGGCCTAGGCAAATGAATCGGGCCATGTAGCACTCGTCCTTGTCCACCATAGACGCGTGTAAACGTACCGGACAGAGCGTAAATACCAAGCGGGTAATTGGAGTAACAGTTGTATATGTGTGTTTCCTGGTTGAAAGTCTAATAAGCCAGCACACATCGCCTTGAGGAAATGCATTTCGATTGACGTGATGTGTTTGCTTATGAAGTAGAATAGTTAGAACTTTGCCTTATCATCCGACCCAGAACTACTTGCTCCTGAGATCTGTTTCAGTCGGCTATTTAATAGATCCAGTCAACATGACACAGCGCCCAGCCCTGTGCATGCAGGCCCTAATCTATTTTCTAAGGTGTACCGTGTCCTTTGCATTACATTTGGCGCAACAACGTTAGCGTAATTACATTCACTGCGGCCATTACATTACTTTTGACTCCCAACGTGTCAGAGGCGTTACATGACTATAAAACATTTATTTATCACTATT